GGACACCTGGTGCTGCAGATCTCTCCTGTTATTTGTAGATAAACAACTCAGCAGGTGGGAATGTGCCTAGGAGTGCTCTGTGGGTTTTTCCACGCCCTTCCTTGGACAGGCTTTGCTCTGAGGTAGAGGCTGATTTCTCAAAAATGGAGACACAGCAGTTTCTCAGCCCATTCCTTCAGTTCCTCACAGTGTTCTGGGTGATCACCCTCCCCCCAGTTAATTGCACCCGAATCTTTGTCTCAGGGCCTACTTTTAGGGGAAGCCAAACGACGACAGACAGGCCACGGAAACGCAGTGGCAGCTGTGATGAGGAGGAGGCAGGGTCCTGTCGGCCCATAAGGAGTTTGCAGGCTCCTTCTCAAATGCCCAGATCCTGCCTGTCCTCATTACCTGGAGCCTGTCCTCCAGAGGGAGAAGGCACCCCAGCTTGGATGGGTTTCACAAGTCACAGGAAGAGAGAAAAGTGTCGACAAACAGGGACAGAAGGTAGCTGAGGGGCCCCAGTGGGTAAATCCTGGGCAGAACTCCGAGTGGTCGCCACCGCCCTCTTCCTCCCAGAGTGCCCCCGTTTCCACCTTGCTCACCAACCTCACTTCATGGCTCCCCTAAGTCTCCCGCCTCCCCTCCTGGTGCTCTAGGAACTCTCCATTTCAAAAGTGTTTCCAGAAATATGACTCAGCTCTCGGCCTCCTGCTGCCCAGGGGCGTTGGACCTCTCCTCATCCCCACCTGCCCCTCTTCCACCACCCTCACCTTCCCACCCACCTTTCCACATGCACAGTCCACTGACCGCCAAGTGCGTAACCTAACATGGGCTTGGTGTGTGTGGGGGGATGACTTCAGTATCATAGTGTCAAAATGTCATTACATCCTCTCTGATTATGATGATGATGATGATGATGATGATGTCAATTGCATTTGCCCTCAAGAAAGAGCCTCAAACCCCAAAGCTCACCACAGGCCACAAATGCCTAGTGTACCTGGTGCCCATTCACTCCAGTCCTCCCTCTAGGCCCCACTTGGCCCCATGCAAAACAAGCCCCTGGGCCAGAGCCACTGCTCAGAGGCCTCCCGCCCAGAGCAGAGCCTGCAGCCACCTCTTCACCTGAGGCTTCTGAATAAGGAGCAAGACAGAAAGCTGCCGAGGGCTGGAGCGTTGCTCACAGGAGAGCCAGTGCTTGGTGTGCCCAAGCCCTGGGGTCAGTCCCCAGCACAAACAAGAGGAATGGAAAACTGCTGCAGACTGTGGTCCAGCAGGGACCATCCAGTTCCCTGGAACCACTAACTCAGAATCTGATTGAAATAAGACTCAAATGCTGCTCTGGGAGGAGGGACGTCCCGCCCACGTCCCCCATCAGGCAGGCGGTGGAATTGGGGGATCCTCTTCCTGGAGTAGGCTGGCTGTGGAATAAAAGCCAAAAGACAAAACAGTGAAACAAACAGTGAGCGGGGAGGGCTCTTTGACCCGAGGGATCAGCTCCCACTGCAGAGAGAGGGATGGAGCCCACGCTTGCCTTATTTATTTTGGGGAACATCAAAGGTTTTTCATGGACTATTCTTTGCCAAATAAGAGCTGTTCAATTCCCAATGGGTTATGCCAAACTGTGGAGCTAGGAGAGCTGTCCCACTAGTAGGGCGAGGGCAGAGATGCCACACCGTGGGCAGTCTGAAAGCCCGGATCCTTCCCAAGGAAGGACCTAAGTCCCCCATGGCTTGGTACCCACTAAAAGACCACTCAAGTAGCTTCACGGGTGGCTGCCACAGGGGCACTGATGATTATCTTATGTTGGACAATGGAGAGCGTATTAGGAGACTGTTTGAGGGCTGAGAAAAATCTGTGATGAGAATAAATACAAATAAAGAAAAAATGAGCTATTTAATTCCCCCACACTCTCCCACTAAAAAACACAAGAGGCAGTAAATGAAAATAAATGCAGTTGTACATGATCCTTGGCTTTGTAAATTATAGCCACATAGAGAGGGAAAAGGGAATGAAAGGTGTTGGAGGGTGTCCCCAGAAAACTGGAGGGAGAGCAGCAGAGCGAAGGGACAAGGGGACAGGAGGAGGGGAGGGCAAGGAGAAACCCCGGGGAGTGGTATTGGCCCAAGCACATTGCTCTACTGTGTGCCTGTAGGAACATGTGCAGGTAGAGTGCACCGATAAACATGTGGAAAAAGTCACAGCCACATAAGCACAGTCTTGGGAAAACTGAACTAAAGTTGTGATGCATCACTATGGTATGAGACAACAAAATCATAATCCAACACAGGGTACAGAAATGTCACTGAAAGCTTGGTCCTTGTCCCTGACACCAATTCAGTAATGACAACAAGGTTTTGAGAAAAAGGAAAAAGTTTTATTGTTTTGCTAACAAAGGAGAAGCACAGGGGAGTCCTGTCCCAGAGGCTTGTGTGTGTGTGTGTGTGTGTGTGTGTGGTGCTGGGGACTGGGGCCTTGTGCATAAGGCAAGCACTCTACAACGAGCTATATCCTGAGCCCCCCAAGGGACTGTGATTCTGCTGGTCAAGGGAAACAGAGAGTTTTATTGTTTTGTTTTGGATTTGGTCTTTTTTTTTTTTTTTTTTTGGTACCAGAATTGAACCAAGGTATACTTAACCACTGAGTCACACCTCCAGACCTTTTTATTTTTATTTTGAGACAGGGTCTTCCTAAGTTGCTTACGCCCTTGCTAAGTTGCTGAGATTGGCATCAAATTTGTGATCCTCCTGCCTCAGCCTCCTGACTATAATCCCTCCAACTGTCTAGGGTTACAGGTGTGCACCACCACACCCAGCATACAAATTATTCTTAAACATAAATTGACCAAAATTGATAATACATGCATGAATTCAGATTTAAAGACCCCAAATATTTTATGATGATATCCATTTCCCCTAAATGTGAATAAGAAGAGCACTTCCTTTCTGATTGACATTCATGTGTGCCGGATTTTCAAGCAAAAAGTGACACAGATTTGTGTTTGGGACCCTCATTCTCCTAGAAGTGTGGTGGGTAAACTGAAGAAATCACCTTTTGTCTGAATCATAACCCTAATAAAAGGCAAACAATGAAACTGGGAAGGACTTCTATCATAAACAAAATACAGAGTTGTAATCTTTAATTTCTAAACAGTTTACACAGATTGGTAAGAAACAGCACCAAAACCAGTCTTTAAAATAGTGGGCAACTGGCCTGAAAAGCTCATTTCTGGGAAATATTTAATGGTAAGTTAACACATGAAAAATGACCAGCCTCACTACATATGAAGGCATGGCATAACAAAATAATGATCTGATAAAATTGCCCATCCCCATGTTGGGACTCTGGGATAACTGCCCTTGACGCTGGCAGGGATCAGGTGAGGACACTCTGTTGAAGTGTGATATGATGGCTCCACATTTTAGAAGGGTTTTAGGCAACAGACCCACACTGTGTGACCCAGTGGCTCTATTTCTGGAAATTTACCAGGTGGTTTATCAGGAAGTTAACAACACTGTGAGCAAAGCCTTATGTATAAAGTACACTGTTTTAATGGGAGAAAAAGAACAATCTTGACAATCATGCAACTATTAATGATGTTTCAAATTGTGCAGAAAACCTTTTTGATTATTTTTACCATCTCTATAAGGACACAGTAAATACTGGAAGGAAACACACCAACATAAAGCTATCTTTAGTTTGTGGATTGAGGGTGATTTTCACTTTATAAAAACATTTTTCTATATTTTTCAATGTTTCCATAACATTAATAGGTTTAGCCCAAAATAAGGGCTTGCTGGCCTCATAAATCGTTTCCAGGAACCCTTGGCAGGAGGTGACTTTGAGCTGGGGACTGAGTGACCCCTCCCCAGCTGGCACCTTTCTGCCTACCGTCAAGGTTGGCTCCCAGGGTTGTGCCACCCGCCCAGTGGGTTCAGTGGGCACCCAGGAAGGAGAGGGCTGCCAAGCACCTTGGCCTCTGCCCTTCACTTATCAACTCACAGAATAATAACAGGGTAGCAGTTTGCCTTGTGTTGAGCCCGGATAGTGTGCTAAACCCTTGGCCTGCTTACTCTCAGGTGCTCTGAAGGCCTCCAGCAGCCAGGGGACACAATCCACTAGGCATAGGAGAAGGATTAGCTGGAGAAGGTCTCACGTCTCTGTTCATGTTTCCTTGGCCCTCTTCCTTTTTCTTCCACCCGCTTTATTGAGTCCAACTCAACAATGTCTATCCGGCTCTCTGAGGGAAAGGCGGCTAGATCCATGGCTCCCCTCTCTCTGGAAACCCTTTTTTTCCAAAGCAAATTCAGCAGGCCAGCTGGCAGCAGGCTTCCTGAGGGCCCGCCCCCTTCCTTCTGCCGAGGGCTTTTAACTTTTGCACCTGGGGCCATGACCAGCTTCTTCAGTTGGCAGCAGTGGCTCCCTGTGCCTTGTCCTCCAGGATCATCGGGTTGGTAGGTGTCCCCTGGTGTGAGCCCGGGAGGGCACAGTTCTCTCCCTCCTGCTCCTTCCTCTGTCCCTGGCCGTAGGCCTTCGGCACCTCAAGAATCACCCCTTTCTTGCTCCATCTCCTCCCATCTTTTTCTTTGTTCTCCATTCCATTTCCTTTGTCTCCATGGCTTTATCTGTATCATCATTTCTAAAAGCAAATAGCAAATTGTCGTATTGTGAAGAAGACTTTTCTCCTTAATGCAGTGGTTCCAAGATTTGTTCCTTTATACTCAACTTATTGAAGGGCTCTATGAATCACAAGTCCCTTCTTAATACGAGGTGAGTTTGGGGACCACAGGACCCAGACTGTTGTCCCTGCGGTGCTTGACCAAGCTTAGGGAGGTGTGCAGGCAGGTGCTGATGGCGAGAGGAGGCACCGCGGGCTTCAGCTGCGACCTCTCCAGCCTTGGTTTGTGGGGGGCTGTGGAGCACAGGGTCTGCCCACCCACAGTTTTTTCCTGAACATTCTTCTCCAAGCCGAAGCTCCTGGATGAGTGCATCAGCACCCTGCAGCCGCAGAAAGGTCAGCGATGGCCGTGGTCCGGAAATCCCGCCTCCCCGGGTGTCTGCTCACCCTCGTGCTCCTGCAGCTGCCCAAGCTGGATTCAGGTAGGTCTCCCTGCTCCTCGCTCTGTGTCCTGCAGGGTTGAAACGTCCCAGTACATGTACACGACACCATTTGGTTCTCCCAAGCCATGTCCAGCGGGCTGGATGGACCTGCTCAGCTTGTCGAGGGCCTGGGGGCGCTGCAGGGCCCCTGACCTTCAACAGCAGCCTGGGCTGCGTCGCCCCAGTCTCATCGCTCTGACTCCGCTCGCTTTGACAGCTCACTTTGAAGTGATGGGGCCCCCGGAGCCCATCCTGGCCATGGTGGGAGCAGACGCCGAGCTGCCCTGTCACCTCTCCCCAAACGTGAGCGCCGAGCACATGGAGCTGCGGTGGTTCCGACGGACGCCGTCGCCCGCCGTGTTCCTGTACCAGGCGCCGCAGGAGCCGCAGCAGGAGCTGATGCCAGAGTACCGCGGCAGGGTGGCGCTGCGGCGCGACGACATCGCCGCGGGGCGCGCGGCCCTGCGGATCTGGGGCGTCCGCGCCTCGGACGAGGGCGAGTACCGCTGCTTTTTCAGGGACAACGCCAGCTACGACGAGGCCATAGTGCACCTCCGAGTGGCAGGTGAGAGGCAGCGGGGTGACGGCCCGGGTCCCCCGTGGTGAGCCTGTTTCCCTACGAGCGGAGCGGGTTACTTCGGAACCACGCGGTTCCTTCCAGGTGCGGGGTCGGCAGGCCTGGGGGGGGCCGGGCATGAGCTGTAGGGGACAGCAAGCGGAATGCCCTCCCCTGTATTCAGCCGCCTGCTGCCCCCTCCGTCAGCGACAGGCTAAGCACCTAGGGTGTAATGGCCATAGCATTCTGTCATCTGAGGACACCGTCGTTACTCGACCAGCTCCCAGAATCAGATTTTGAAGATGTGTCTATTTTTCATCATTATCTAAGGCTGCAGTGAGCATCCCATATACTTGAGGCTGCTTTGTGGATTAGTCTCCAAGGACTGGTTTCCTAAGATCCTCGAGCATGGCCTTTTGCTAACACTCTTCATATATCTGCAGAAGTTTCTTTCTTTCTTTTTTTTTTCTTCAAGCCCAAATTCTGGGTGAAATACCAAGGAGAGTGGTTAGCTTTCTGGAGGACAGTAAGCACTGAGGTCTGACTTTCCACTCACCAGTGGTGATTGCATCAAGGAAATCTTCCTGGTTTACTGTAAAACTGAGGAAGCATTTATTCCACATGATTTTGCAAGAATGAAATGAAATTAGACAACACATGAAAAACTGCTTTGTCAATTATAAGAGCAAAATTAGGATATCCTCGTAAGATATTATGACCATGTCTTGAACTAATCTAAATGCGTAATACACAAATATATTCTCATATGTATCATGTATAACTCTTTTTTTTTTTTTTTTTGTACTGGGGCCACTAAGCCACTTAAACACATCCCCAGCCCTTTTCAAATTTTTATTTGTTCAGACTGGCCTTGAACTTGCAATCCTCCTGCCTCAGGCTCCCCAGTCCATGGGATTACAGGCTTGAGCCACCACACCCAGCTCTCATTTCATTTTTAGGGAAGACTATCTTAAAGTTTAAGGATGGTGATAAAAGCCCACATATTTGATGCCATAAAACTGTTGTTATCTTTTATAAGGGTCAGATATCTGTGAGGATCTGATACTAGTGGTAGTCCCTTTCAAGACAAAAATACACATTCTTACTAAACACACAAATTCAGAATATAGACAGTCATGGACATGTATTTCAAGTTACTTCTTTGGAGCTCTGTTTTTTTCTGTACCCTGTGGAATTTTTTTTTTTTTTAAGAATTAATCTAGAGAGGTAGGAAAAACAGCTTTATGTTGGTTTTTGTTAAGGCATAATTTTGTGGGGAAAGGTGAGGTTGGAGCAATTTAAGAAAATTCCTGAATCAGCATCATGGGTAAAGAAGCTTAAGCTTTGATCCACAGTCAACTGTGAGCCTCCTTTCTCCTGCAGAACACCACTTTCATCCATCTTTAAATATTCCAGTGCTAGTTCTCTCTTCCCAGACCCTTCTTGTAATACTGCTAACCAAGGAGCTCTTTTGCAGATCTGGAGCTCCCAGTCCAGGCCCAAGCTCCCTGTGGGGCAGTTCCTGCTGGCTGAAAAGCTCCCCCAGGTCTGCCCATTGAGCTCCTTCCTGCTCACACTTCACAAACTAGATGCCAATAAGATACCCTCCTCTGATAAGGTGAATGAAATTCCTTTCACTGACACCTCAGTCTCCTGGTGTAGTGAAATGTGGAGAGGAACTCCCAATCCACTTGGCCTCTTTCTCTCTTTCTCAAACTGGAATTGTGAGTCTGCAGAAGGCACCACTGAGAGATTAAGCCAGCTTCTCCCTCCTCAGCTCTGGGCTCCGAGCCTCACATCACCATGGAAGTTCAGGAGAGTGGCGAGGTCCGGCTGGAGTGCACCTCCGTGGGGTGGTACCCAGAGCCCCAGGTGCAGTGGAGATCTGCCAAGGGAGAGGAGTTCCCGACCACGTCAGAGTCCAGGAGTCCTGACGAGGAAGGCCTGTTCACTGTGGCAGCCTCAGTGACCCTCAGGGACAGCTCCATGGACAGTGTGTCCTGCTGCATCCGGAACCTCCTTCTTGGCCAGGAGAAGGAAGTAGGGATTTCCATTCCAGGTGAGTAGAACCAGTGCTGACTCCTGTGTGGACACAGCCTCGGGGCTCCCTGACCTGGCACCTGCCCCGATGTGACTTCCTGGTGGAGCTGCCCACTTTCCCATCTGAGTGTTTGCCCATTGACTCGAAGGAGCCCCACCAGCCTCTTCAGAAGGATAAAAATTCAGAAGTCACAAATTCTACCTATCTTTCATGTAGTCTCAGGCTTTCCATTTTGGGAGATCTACTTGAGATGGAGAAACTCCGTGCCTGCGGCCTTCCTTATTCTCGCCTTGAGTAAATAAGGAGACTGCTTTTCTGGTCTCACCCTTTCCATCCTTGCCCTCCCGTCCAGGGCTCCTCAAGGCTTCCAGGGGCCTCAGAAGCACAACCTGCCACTAGTCCCTGGATGCCAGCTCTGCCCCAGGCAGGAACGCTTTCTTACTTTTCAGCCAATGAGTCTCACTCTGTCACACACAGAAGTGACCCTTCTCCTTCCTTATTTACCTCCCGCATCCCCTTGACTCCCCCTCTGCATTGACAGTGAAGTAGGAATTCTATAATAACAGAGCTTGGTCCATACAATCCTTTAGCCCACATGTCCTGACCCCAAATGACTCGGTTCTTCTTCTCCTTCTCTGCTCTCTCTTGCCCAAGATCAAAACTTCCTGAAAAGCTTAGAGAGGCGTTGGAGGGGTTGTTTGTGCCATGGCAGAGATAGAGGGGACCCACTCTGTCTCCTCTTCCGCCTCCATCTGGCATCAGGAGACGAGTGGGACCTGCTCTGCTTTCAGCCAATGTTCCTCTGGGGACTTTGTTTCAGCTCCCATCTCCCCCAGGCTGACTCCCTGGATGGTGTCTGTGGCGGCCATCCTTGTGGTCTTAGGGCTGCTCACCACTGGATCCATATTTTTCATCTGGAGACTGTACCAGGAGAGACCCAGAGAGAGGAGGAGCAAATCCAGCTCTACAGGCAAGTCCTAGATCCTAAATGGGCTGCTCGCCAGGGGTGCTTCAGAGGAAGGTTGGGTCCACGCCCACCCATTAGGACAACTTCCAACAGGAAGACCCTCGATTCTAGAATTCCCAAAGTCAGAAGAAATGTTAAGGCTTCTGAAGTCATAGATACCTACAATGAAGAGAAGTTTGGGTCACAGGCAGAGTCAAACCGTTCCAACTGGCATTTGGGACCTGAATTTACTTACCACCCTTCCTCTGCCCAACCCCACCTCTAACTCAGTTTCCCAGTAAGGATCTTATCATGGAAGATCTGATCTCAAGCCTGTAGGAACTTCCTGATTACTTCTCAGAAAACAAAACAGAACAAAGCCCTGTTGTAGGGTTGCCGGTGGTATTTCAGTAGTCAGGTAGTCGGTTGTAAGTTAAACAGTTCCTTCTTTATGGGTCCCCTGTACCAGTCCCATCCCCTCCCTCAAGTCCATTATAAAAAGCCACTGAGGTGCTTTTGTTTGTTTTCCAGAGAAACTCCTGGAAGAGCTCAGTAAGTTCTGCCTCTTGTGATTTCATCCAGTTTTCTCGCTCTTGTTCAAAACCAGTTGCTGATAGTCTCTCTTTCTTTGCAGATTGGAAAAAGGCGGCATTGCATGCAGGTCAGTGACTCAGGACTTCTCCAGGTTGCACTCCAGGAATTCAGGGTCCTGTGAGACGTGGACTTGAGAACATTAACATTAACATTCACTTAGTGAGGAGGCTAGGAAGGGGACCTCAATGGCACATGGCCGTGACACTTTCCTTGAGCCCCCAGCAGAACCCTGGAAGATGGCTAGGATGCCAGTCCCTTCCTACAGTGTCTCCTTGGGGACAGTCAGCTCTTAACCATACTGTGGCTGCTGATCAGAGGGAGCAGGCACCTGGGAGGCCAGACAGGTCTCCAGACCTGCACAGGAGACCACCAAGTTATCCCACTGCTGTTTCTTTGGAGAAGGGAGGACAGGTCCTGTGACTGACTGCCACTGACGGTCACACTCTCTTCTCTAGTTGATGTGACTCTGGATCCAGACACAGCCCACCCTCACCTTTTTCTGTACGAAGACGCAAAATCTGTTCGACTGGAGGATTCACGCCAGAAGCTGCCTGAGAATCCAGAGAGATTTGACTCGTGGCCGTGTGTGCTGGGCCGAGAGGCCTTCACCGAGGGGCGGCATTACTGGGAGGTGGAGGTGGGGGACAGGACCGACTGGGCCATCGGCGTGTGCAGGGAGAACGTGATGAAGAAGGGGTTTGACCCCATGACCCCTGACAACGGGTTCTGGGCTGTGGAGCTCTATGGGAATGGATACTGGGCCCTCACCCCTCTTCGGACCCCTCTCCCATTAGCAGGCCCCCCTCGCCGGGTTGGGATTTTCCTGGACTACGAATCGGGAGACATCTCCTTCTACAACATGACTGACGGGTCGCACATCTACACCTTCCCTGGCATCTCCTTCTCTGGCCCCCTCAGGCCCTTCTTTTGCCTGTGGTCCTGCGGGAAAAAGCCCCTGACCATCTGCCCAGTGTCTGAAGGGCCTGAGGGGGTCACAGTCATCCCTGAAGCCCAGAACCTTTCCAAGGACATCCCACTGTCCCGTGTGGGGCAGGACTCTGCCTCTGGGGACACAGACACTCTCCGTTCTAAACTCATCTCTTCCCAGCCCAGCCGAGGGGCACCTTAAGGAACGGCCCGCTCAGCCACCTTCCTGAGCTCCAGCCCCTCCTCCACCCCGGCAGCCCTTTGGTGGGAGCAGGCAGCAGGGCCTTCGCGGTCTGTTTCGGCACCAGGACTGGGGGCTGAGGAGCTGACTCCTACGCTGCTCCAGTGCTCTCCTATCGCTGGAGACCAGAACCCGTGGGGAGGACAGCTCAGGGAGGGACAGGTCCCCCGGGGGTGTGGCAGAAACACTTGGCGTCCAGAATAGAGGAACGGGTTTTAAGCAAGAAGAAAGCACAGGGGGTTCGGGAAAGAAAGATCTTAGGCTAACATCCATAAAGAAGGTTGGAGGGGACATGATGGTGGAAGGAAATGAGGCCAGTACCGTCCCTGCCCCTGGATTTGCAGGTCTGTTTCTCACCTTTCAAGCTCCGCCCTACAGGATAGAGGACCTACTTTTATGGGGGTGGAGCTGTGGGAAAGGAGGAAGGGGAGGAGTTGAGAGGAGCAGGGGTGAGGGGTTGGACAGAAGGTGTGACAGGAGAGAACTAACTGGTGGACCAAACTCAGGCCTGTGCATAGCCTCTGGCCCTGCTCCTCTCTGGGCACCCTCCTGATTGGCCCTTGCCTGGGGTCAGACCAGACTCACCCTGTTGACTGCACAGGTTTCCCATGCTCTTCTTTTTGATGTAGACCCTTCTTCCATGACATCGCCACATGATAGACACTTTTCAGCCTTGTGCCCCGTCAGTCCTCACCTGTGTCCAAGCCCCACACACGCCTTTGGTCAGCGTCAGTCACCACCCATTTCCAGCTGTGCCAGTTCCCACAGGCTGCCTGTCCTGGGGGTGCCCTGAAAGCTGCACCGTGGTGCTCAGTGCAGCTGGGATAACCACGCCTGCTCCTGGTCCCCTGAGCAGGCTCCTGCCAGTGGCTTGTCTTGCCAAAGGCCTGCAGTTGTGTCCAGGTGCCGCCTCCCATTTCCATCTGTCTCTAGCTCCCAGCCTGAGCGTTGCCCAGGGTCCTTGTCTAATAAAGAAGTCTGTGTAATTGCTGAAGGCAGCCTCTGAATGTACCTTTCTTTATCACAATTACTGAGAGTGAAACCAAACAGGAAAGAAACCTGGGTGGGGATGCAGCTGGCCAGAGCAGAGCCATTGTATGTGATCCCAGGACAGCAGCGGGCGGGGGCTGCTCCCTGAGGGTCCAACTGCCTACAAAAGCCACAGTGCCCAGTGCTTCCTCCTCCTGTCCCTGTTGGGGTGGTGGCTCCACTTCTACTACCATAAGGGTAACTGGCCCTGATGCTGAGGAGGGAAGCCACCTCTCCAAGTAAATCAGCATTTTCCAGAGAGGAAGAATGCTTGGGAAATTTTTATGGCTTGTGCCTTGTTATTATTATTATTATTATTTTTTTAAAAGCATGATGATCTGTGGAAACTGTTGCCCCAGGGAGGCTCCACGTGTGAAGCCCTGGTGGTTCCAGGAGATGCTCACCTTCTTCCCTGCCCCAGGGAGGACTAGGAACAGAGGCTCTGATCTGAATGTCACTCACCCAGCCTGCTGCCCAAAGGGGCAGATGTGAATCTCTGAAGGTTCACCAAATGTGGGAAATCATCTCATTCCATTTGCACCACATTCCATTTCTCATGGTTAATCTAAAACCCAGCTTTTCTAAATTTTCAATACCTGTGAACTTCAATGAGGATCATGCCCAAGAACCAGTCATTGTCGCTCAGGTAGAAATTCTGAAAACCAGACAGAATTTCACCACACTCACTGAACTTCAAGCTAAATGCAACCTGATCTACCCCTTTACCCACCTTGTCACTTTCCCGGCCCCACTCCATTTGTTTTCGTCCTGGCTTTGACATTCTCCTGCTAATTTGGGAGTAAACACCGAGGAATAATATATACATAATCACATTTCCATGCATGTATGACTAGATTATTTTTAAAACAATCTACCTGGGCTTATAAACCTGGAGACCACAGAAGTTTTGCTCTGGGAATTGTTCAAGAGGAAAATACAATCGAAGTTTAGGATTGGAAGAGACTGTCGATGTTTACTCCAATCCCTCCTTTGAGAGGTGAGGACACTAAGACAGAAGGAATGAAGTGATTTGGCTAAGTCACACAGTATGTGCCAGCCAGGCCAGCATCCAAAGGCAGGTGTTCCTTACTGTCGCTGTGCAAGACAAACTGCACTGAGGGTCCTGCAGGGCACAGAGGACAGATTAAGTTAGTGCAGGCTCTGCGCCTCCAGGAACCTCCTTGGACACATAGCCAAGGCAGTACGCATTGGCTCAGGAGACTCTCAGGCCCAGCAAGGGACCCGAGAAGCAGAGGAACTTGATTCCTCTGATTCCATGATTCCTTCGACCTCCACCAGGGTCTGCACCTGGGGAACCAGAAAAAAATGGGCTCTGCTTGAGTCCATTTTCTTTTTGGGACTGGGGGTTAGGAATTAAACTCTGGGGCACGCAATCACTGAGCCACATCCCCAGTCTTTTTTTTTTTTTTTTTTGTATTTTTTAAATTTAGAGACAGGGTCTCCCCAAGTTGCCTAACACTTTGCTGTTGCTGAGGCTGGCTTTGAACTCTTGATCCTCTCGCCAAGCTGCTGGGATTACAGGCGTGTGCCACCACGCCTGGCTTTGAGTCCATTTTCTGCTACTATAATAAATACCTGAGACCAGGCAACTTATAAAGAATAGCAGTTTACGTGGCTGTTGGTTCTGGAGCCTGGGAAGTCCCAAAGCATGGCTCCAGTATCTGGTGAGGGCGACATGCTGTATTAAATGAGGGTGAGGCAGAGCTTGATTTTTTAGCAAAATCACTCCCTATGAGGGCCGATCAATCCATTAATCCCTGAATGCATTAATCCACTCATAAGGGCAGACTTTTTATGTCCTGATCTCCTCTCGAATTCCATTAACACATGACTTTGGGACTAGGGAATGTGGCTTAGAGGCAGAGTGCTTGTCTACCATGTATGTGGCCCTGGGCTCCATCCTCAGCACTGCTTCCCAGAAATACAGCTTTGTGGACCTTAAGGGTCACTAATGGTCAAGTTCAAACCATGGCAGGCTCCTCCCTCCATCCATCCCAGACCTGGAGCACCCAGAGTTCTCCTTTGTTGGTCCCATACTCAAACACTACTTCAGCCGCTTGCCCCACACGGTTCTCCTCCCAGGAGAACATTCCTCTCTGTTTTAAAAGCATTCATTCATGTTGAACTTGAACTTTTAAATTCAGAGAAAAACATAGTCCAAATGTCTTTTAAATACTTAGGAAACTCAAGCAATTGCACTGCTGGTTTAATAAGTAATGACATTCTAAAATGTATCTGTAAAACTTACCCAGAGTAGGAGCTCGGGTTGTGGCTCAGCGGTAGGGCATTTGCCTGGCATGTGTGAGGCACTGGGTTTGATCCTCAGCACCACGTAAAATAAAGGTATTATGTCCAACTACAACCAAATATATACATACACACACACACTATATTTGTGTGTGTGTATATATATATATATATATATACTACATATATATTACATATATACTATACTAAATAAATAAAAAATATATATATATATATCTTACCCAGAATAGACCAGGCTGCCACAGGAACCCCCCTCTGAGATAAAAAAAAGAAAAGGATCTTGGATTTTAATCAATCTCCGACTCCTTTTCCTTCCCTTTCCCCCAGATGTTCAAGGAAAATGTCCCCAGGGCCCAGAACTGAGCTGGTGGTGGATTCTTAGGGGACACCATGTCCTTGGTCCCCGTGATGCACTCCCAGCCTTTCTGTGTGCCTCCCCCTCAGGAAGAACTTGTGTGATAAGCTGAGACCTGCCAGTCTCTCCTCTTCAGGGGCACATCTGTCAGAATTGCTGCTCTGGACAGGAACAGGAAGATGACCAGTCTCACAGCTGTGACCCTACCTCCCAGTCTTCTGAAGTGGGGAATGGTCCTCACCAGTGTGGGCCTTAGTCCCATGAGGCTGTCAGTGATACTAGGATTCAGCAGCACCCGGAGCCCTCTTCCACCTCCACAGGTAACTGACCAAAGGATGTCCAAGATTTGATTTTCCTTTTAAAACAGAAACAGTTGTTTCATCGCAGCACTAAAGATCAGGCTAAGAGTGAAATACACTAAAATGATAACTGACTTCATTTCACACGACCAGATGCCAGCTCGGACGTCATGTTGGGGCAGGTGTCTCCCTCCGTGTAACAGTCTCTGTGAGTGAACTGAGCCCAGACTTCAGTTCAAGAGAGAAAGGACTTAGGACCTCCCTCTCCCTGGCCAACAGCAGTTCCTCCTGGCCCCGGGCACAGCTCAGCTCAGTCTCTTCTGTTCCCATGCAGCACATCGGCCTCCTCCAGTCGCCCTCCTGAGCACAGTTGCCAGCCCACCTCCAGCTTCACTCCCTCCTCCCCTCATTTTATCATCTAACAATGTAAATTATGTGTTTTCCTGAAAACACACGAAAATTTATTTTAAAATTAAAAATACCCCCAAATATCATCACGTGAATATGAACATTGCCAAGATTTGGATTTATCCTCCTTTAAAAAAAATCTAAGCCAGGCACAGTGGTGCCTGCCTGTAATGCCAGGGATTCGGAAGACTAAAGCAGGAGGATAGCAGGTTTGAGGCCAGCCTCAGAAACTTAGCAAGGCCCTAAGCAACTTAGAGACCCTGTCTCATAATAAAAAATAAAAAGGGCTGGGGATGTGGCTCCATAATTAAGCACTCCTGAGTTAAATCCCAGGTACCAAAACAAACAAACAAACAAAAAACCCTCTTCTAAATTTCAATGGACCTTAATTGCCTATTGGGGAATGAATTTCAGAGCAGTGTGAATGCTTCCTGGTGTAGATGTGGTAGCTACACGAGATACAGAAGGAGATTTAAGAAGGCCATGTGAATTGGTGGAAGATGAGTGACATGCACACAGAAACTGAAAGGCAGACTGGCCCAGTTTGATGCCTCCTTTTAAGATTGGGGGTCCTTATTTTT